GTTCTGAATGGTGTGAGGTATTAACCAATGAAACGGTCTGTTATGGCGAGCTTTAGGCGTGTTTTGCACAGAACTGTGGGTAATTCATTAGTAACATCAATGCTGATTGGTTAATCAAATGTCTGACATCATTGGGTCAAAAGTCGCTTGTATGACCTCTGATGTGACCTATTGCAACAACCGGTCAGATCTTCATGTAGTGTAGACCATCGAAAGTATAAAAAAACAAAACGAAATATAGATCTGTATTTTAATCAGATTGGTGTAAAAACAAAAATAGATAAAAAGAAGCGGACAGGACATACATAAGTATATGTTAACTGGTGCAGTCCTCAGTACGAAAACCAAAAAGATAGGTTGCCAGGCAACGAAACATACGCCCACAGCAGCTAAATCGTCCGGGCAGTCAACAAGAGTTGTCGCATATTTTTACTTTTTTCGGTAATGAAACATTTATAATACACTCGAATCTGATTAAGAGCAACAACTCAGAAAACCATTAGAATTTGTTTGGTTTTTATAAAGTTCTGCCCCATGCTAACGTTTTGTATACAAAACTTTTAATACTGTATCATGGATTTAGCTGTTCCAAGTCATAAAAATTCATTGAAAATCAATATACTTGTTCGTCTAAAGATCTTAAACTCTGTGTATCAATCTGAAGTCAATCGGATATTAACTTTGGCCTCTAGAGCGTCCACAAGATTTTTCAAAGTGATCAAGGGCCATAACTTTGGAAGTAATTATCAGAAATCTTTGAAAATCAATAGGATTATTCGCCTCGTGACCTCAAACACTGTGTATAAATTTAAAGTCAATCTGATATTAACTTTAGCCTTTAGAGCATCCACAAGGTTTTTTGAAGTGATCAAGGGCCATAACTCTGGCAGTAATTATCGAAAATCACTGAAAATAAATAGACTTCTTCGTCTCATGACCTTAAACACTGTGTATAAAATTTAAAGTCAATCCGATATTAACTTTAGACTCTAGAGCGTCCACAAGATTTTTCAAAATGATCAAGGGCCATAACTCTGGCAGTAATTATCGTAAATTGCTGAAAATCAATAGGATTCTTCGTCTCATGACCTTAAGCACTGTGTATAAATTTAAAGTCAATAGGATATAATAACTTTGGCCTCTAGAGAGTCCACAAGATTTTTTTGAAGTGATCAATAGCCATAACTCTTGCAGTAATTATCAGAAATCGATGAAAATCAAAAGGCTTCTTCGTCTTATGACCTTAAACACTGTGTATAAATTTAAAGTCAATAGGATATAATAACTTTGGCCTCTAGAGAGTCCACAAGATTTTTTTGAAGTGATCAAGAGCCATAACTCTGGCAGTAATTATCAGAAATCGCTGAAATTCAATAGGCTTCTTCGTCTTATGACCTTAAACACTGTGTATAAATTTAAAGTCAATCAGATATTAACTTTGACCTCTAGAGCGTCCACAAGATTTTTTGAAGTGATCAAGGGCCATAACTCTGGCAGTAATTATCGGAAATCGCTTAAAATCAATAGGCTTCTTCGTCTCATGACCTTAAACACTGTGTATAAATTTAAAGTCAATCGGATATTAAGTTTGGCTTCTAGAGCGTCCACAAGATTTTTTGAAGTGATCAAGGGCCATAACTCTGGCAGTAATATCGGAAATCGCCGAAAATTAATAGAATTCTTTGTCTCATGACCTTAAACACTGTGTATAAATTTAAAGTCAATCGGATATTAACTTTGGCCTGTAGAGCGTCCACAAGATTTTTTGAAGTGATAAAGGGCCATAACTCTGGCAGTAATTATCGTTTGGCTGAAAATCAATAGGCTTCTTCGTCCCATGACCTTAAACACTGTGTATAAATTTAAAGTCAATCGGATATCAACTTTGTCCTCTAGAGCGTCCACAAGATTTTTTGAAGTGATCAAGGGCCATAACTCTGGCAGTAATTATCGGAAATCGCTGAAAATCAATAGGCTTCTTCGTCTCATGACCTTAAACACTGTATATAAATTTAAAGTCAATCGGACATTAACTTTAGCCTCTAGAGCGTCCACAATTGCTTGTGGACGCCGGACCGACGGACGGACGGGGGCGACGACAATATACGACCACATTTCAATGAGGGCGTATAAAAATCCAACAGAATTTTAACCAATAAGTACAACTTTTATGTGAAACCATGACATCTAGTTATACTTATAAACTTAACATTCTAAATAGTTTTCATTTAATTTAGTGTGCACAGGTATCATACACTCGTTCCTATTATGGGTAGAAGTGACTACTTTTTATTTATCGAAGTTGTTAAATATGTCTGTAAGGTAATAAAACATATGCCCACACCAGTTTAGTTATCCAGACAATCCATAATGGATGTCACATTGTGAATCAGTTGGCAAATAAAAAGCAATGGATATAAATGCAGTAAAGAGTCTACAAAAAAAATCAAGGGTAATACCTCTAGATTAGAGGTTATTATTATCAGATACTGTAATTGTTATTCATCACAATAATCAAAAACAAAATAAATTTAAATTAGATCAGACTTGATTTTCATAGGATTCTTCATTTTACTAATCGGAATAATTAATATAAATTTTACAATATTTTACTAGCCGTATTTAGTGGAAATTAGAGGTTATTATTATCAGATACTGTAATTGTTATTCATCACAATAATCAAAAACAAAATAAATTTAAATTAGATCAGACTTGATTTTCATAGGATTCTTCATTTTACTAATCGGAATAATTAATATAAATTTTACAATATTTTACTAGCCGTATTTAGTGGAAATTGTTGAATTTCTTCATTTCACTAATTTGAACTAATGCATATAAATGCCAATTTAAATGACGAATTTGGATTTTATACTGTAAAGTCTTTGGTGTTTGTGATAAAACAAATAAAACATACTGTAAATTCTTTGTGATAAAATAAAGAAAACTATGTATCAAAACCAATTACATACAGGTGTGCAGAAATTTAGAGATACTCGTAAAATTTTTTAGCATTGATTTCTATTTCAAATTTCTCTATTTCTTTATTTTGTGGAGCCTAATTAGTTGAGATATTAAGGTATATGGGCATGTCTGGTCAATATAGGATATTTCGTGACATGCATGTGTGGTGACACATTTAATACTGTAAAGTCTTTGGTGTTTGTGATAAAACAAAGAAAAACATGTTGTAAATTCTTTGTGATAAAATAAAGAAAACTGTATCAAAATCAATTACATACAGGTGTGCACAAATTTCGAGTTACTCGTAAAATTTCGTGACATGCATGTGTGGTGACACATTTAATACTGTAAAGTCTTTGGTGTTTGTGATAAAACAAAGAAAAACATATTGTAAATTTTTGTGATAAAATAAAGAAAACTGTATCAAAATCAATTACATACAGGTGTGCACAAATTTCGAGTTACTCGTAAAAATTTTTAGCATCGATTATCAATTTCAAATTTCTCTATTTCTGAATTTTGAGGAGCCTAATTGGTTGAGATATTGAGGTATACGGGCATGTCTGGTCAATATAGGATATTTCGTGACATGCATGTGTGGTGACACATTTCATTTTATTATCTATTATCCATATTTTGAAAGTGAGCCAGCAAGCAGGATATATAACACTATGCTTGCGAAATCGAAAAGCCATTTGGTGGAAGTTTCATAAAATATTTTGCCCAAGTGCCTAAAAGTTATTTGTACTGACTTGAAATATGATGTATATCTCCTTCAATTATAATCATTTAAAGATATGTATACAATAGTCCTACATGTAGTTTAACTAGTTTCATTAATGTGTTATTTGTCTCATATGATATGTTGATAATGAATAAATAATAATTAATGATATATTAATTCAGGATACTAATATAGATCACCATCCAATGCTCAGCATCAAACATAAACTGGGCAAGTTGTAAGAAAGATTCTTTAATGGATTGTGATTTCATAACAGTTCCACTTGACAAGAAAATTTAAAATAAATTTTTGTATCACAAATACAATATTTTAAATGCTCATAATACCTGTAATGGTAGACTTACTGTGGAAGTGTTTTAGGTCAATTATTTTGGATTTATCTCCCTTTAATGCTGTCCTGCATTTTATACGGTAATATCTTTAATTCGAAAAAGAGATATGGCCTGCTTATGGGTTCAAAGTTCAAGAATAGTAAACATTGAAAGACATTCCTTGAAAAGCACTAACTTTTGTGATTTACAAGTACCTAAAAATTTGATTTAATGCATTTTTAAGCTCTACAGGGCATATCTAAAGCTAATTTGATCATTTATAAAGGGGCATTATGTACATGTAAGATTAGATAAAGAGCTGACAGTCCTCACTATACATGTAATAGTTTAAAAAAAAGATAATGAAAAGGGAATATGTGGAAAATTTCAGTCAAATTTCAGCCTAAATATCTTCGTTACAATAACACTGTAGCCTTGATTATCCATTTTAACGGTGACCGCATCAAATGCAAAACGTATTTAAATCTACATAATATCGGAGCCTAATAATATTAAAAGTTGAGTATTGTGTAATTAATAATTTATACAACACTTAAGGCCTAAAGAAAGACCTGCAATAGGCCAATTTAGCTCTTGCATATTATTTGTCCACCAAATTGTATTGATAGACATAATTCCAATTCAATCATTAAATCATTAAGTAAAATAACTAAGTTTTGTAACAACAAAAAGGTCTATATTGCCAGAATACATTTGGTAGTTAACAAACAAATATACGTTAGTCCAGTGAACAATTTGCCTTAGATACAATATGGCTCTCTCCTTAAAACCGGTCTTTGAATAATTAAAAAATGGAATGATTAATTTGAATGAATTAAATATAAATAATAAAGCAATGAGCAATACATAAATGTAATTTTAAAAATAAAACAAATCTTTTCCATGCACATCTTTGAGCCAAAATACGGCCACTTTCTAAATGTCTCATATCTCGCCAGCGAGAATCTAATCCAAATGATTTAAAATTAAATCTTTATTAAGTCTTCATCTTTCTAACATACATCATACATGTAGAGTCAAAACGGCTGCTGTGTTTATAAATAGATCAGTGAACAATGACTTGGAGTGATTGGAAGAGTTGTGTTGTCATAATTGGCTGTTTACAGTACACAAGTAAGAACATGACACCATCATAATACCTGTCAAATGCTAAATCCAGTAAAATATAATAAAATGTGGAATATTAAAAGAAGAAAATGAATTAAAAATTTTTTTTGCTTAATATGATTGGGAAGAATGATCATGATAATAATGTTAAACATTCTGAATTTAGAAAGGAAACATAACCAAGGTACAAACTAATCTACAATGTAAATGTGCTATATTTATAGAAATATAGAAATTGTTATCCATAGAACTGTTGTGTTTATTTTAATGTGTTCAATTACTAAATGCCATTCAAACAGTGCTATACGGTACATAAGTTACTTTTATTTTGCTCTAGATGTATACAGACTCTTGGATTAGACTGTCTGACCATGAATTAATAATCGGTAGATGTTCAGCCAATCATACATAGAATTGAGATCATGTGACGTGTAGAAGGTTGCCGTACTCTATATGCTGCAAATAAATGATTTGATATGCAAAATAAAAATCAACAAAGCAAACTATATTAAAGATGCATTATGTAAGTGCTAAATCTGCCTTTTTTTCTGGGTTCAAATGTTATGCAAATTACACAATGGTCATAATCAACTCTCTAGGGCATTGGATGGCCAAGATATTAAACGGATTAGAACACACGAACCATTTTATAATTGTTAAAATGGTACTCAATAACCAAGACTATCTTGTCAAAACTTCAAACTTTCATTACTTCACTCAGAGAATAAAACAATTTGAATGAAATATTCAATATCTTTTTTTTTTTTTTACACAATTATGGCAAAAACGGCAATCTATTTATCTAAATCTTACAAAATCACAATGCATCTTTAAAATGGAACTTAATTATTGCAATATAAAAATAATCATAACCTCACATTTATATTTCAACAGAGCCTATTCTTTAAAATTGTGAATTACTTAAAAAAAAAAGAAGACACATTTGACATACATGTACAGCAATTTTGTGTTTTTTATTTCACCAATACATTAATACCAAAATTGATCGAGCTTTGGTCTTGGCAATGGAAATGTGCATATTTCTACTGCAATTATATAAGGTTGTTTGACATGTGTAGAGAAGTTTAGTAAATAATATGTACATGTATAGTACATGCAAGGGACCTCACCATATTACTTAAAGATGCATTATGTAATATCAAAATCTGCCAATTGCAGGTCTTTATTTTGGCTTTAAAATTCAAATATTATAAGACATTTATTCACATGAACTGCCTTTAATGAGCTCTCTAGGAGATTGACATATGATCAATGATCACCATTTAATGATTTTATTAAAAAAGGAGCAGCAAGGCTGTATGTCAATTAACAAGTAACGTTGCTACGATAATAAACAATATATGCCACTTCTTGTCATAACTTCAAACAGTGATAACTTAACTCAGAATAAAGTACAAATGTAATCTGAATGAAACTTTCAGTATATTAATTTTGAATTATCTATTTTTGAACTATTATACATTTAGCAAAAATGGTCAGCTCTTTATCTTACATAATGCATCTTTAAAAGATTCAATACCAGTTATATTGCTTTTTAATTTCAAGTTAAACATCCTATCACAGACTGTAACTTCTTAACCAATAAAAAGCAGGTATGATTAAAATACACAATGTAACTATTTGAGTAAAAATTGCCCCTTCGGGCACATTTCTAAAAATATTAGTTCATAAAACGAGAAAAACCAGATTACAGCACTAACATTTATATTCAATTATAAATTATGATAAAATAATAATAAAAACATATGACTTATTATATAATGCATGTGCCACTCAGGAAGACATATCTTTCTTTACATTTATTAACATAAATACTATTTCATGTCAATCAAATTATTCATTCTGATAACTTCTAAAAATCACCAAATATTCATCCTCTATTTTCACCTTGATCAGCATCTTTGATTTTTCATTTTAATTTTTCCACATTGCCACATGCAGCATCTTTGACCTTTTGGAAAATTTTCATTTTTAATTTTCACAATAATAAATGCACCTCTTTCACACGCATCGGACATAACACCATCGGACATAACACAACCTTCCCTGTTTTATTATTAATAATAAATAAAATTGGTTTAAGTTTAAAATGTCACACACAGCTAAAACAAATTATCACTATCACGACGACGACAAGTCTTCTTTCGTTTTTTCTTTTTCGCATAGTTCCACATTTTCAATTCTATTCCAAATCTGGAAAGCGAAGGTATGGTTAACTTGTTGAGCGGCTATTTTCCTCTTCAGGGCAAAATCACAGATTTCGGGACCCCCATTGGGATTATACTGCGATTTGGGAATGTTAATATGTCTGGACTCTAATAGTTTAGGGAGAGTTCCAGTAATATGAGCATCTTCTATATTTACATAGGGAAAATATTCCGATAAATGTAATATTTTCATCGCCAAATCTTTACGCATAAAGTACAAATTACCTTTCACATGAGGTGGATAATATTTTAAAGGGTACGCCTTCATTGAAACTTTTGATTTGATTGGTTTTCGTTCTACAGGGTCTGAATAATGAAAATGACCATATATGGTATTGTCTAAATCAGCCGACACCATAATATTTGTTATTCTAGGAATGTCTAAGAATGTATCTTCGTCTATTTTCATGATATTAACTGCATTCGGACAATCGTACTTTGCCCACTTAAATCCCATCAGAACTTTATATGTTAAATTATAATACGATTCTACAAAATCGGCTTGAACTATATCACCTTTTGCATCTGCTTCTTTTTGCAGTAACATTTGTTTAGCTGTAGTATTACTTTTGCCGAATAAGAACACAATTTGGACACTTCCAAAAATGGTTTGACCTGGCCAGGGCTCCCTTCTGACAACACGGCCATAAGTTTGACGAATAGCTTCCCTTTGTAGAAAATGTTCCGGTAACGATAAAATGAATATTAATAATAAAGGATTTTTATCTTTTGCACAAACGTTACTTTTAATTAAAAATTTGAAATCTAAGGGAGTTATTTTTGTTGTCCGACCTTGAAAATATGAACTATTTTTCATCAGTATAGGATTTCCATAATAGCCGTGAAATTCTAGACTTTTCGAAAGTGTGTTGTATAATTCCCGCGTCTGTATAACTTCCTCTGATTCATTATTTCCGATAAGATACGACATCAGTATCCACATCCATGTCATGATCACAGTTGCTAGTACAAACCTTTTTGTGACTTTCATTCTGCCTCCTGCCTAAAAATATATATAAAATAAAACACTCAATTTAATAAATATCATTTAATTGATAAACAGACATTCAAGTTTGACACTGAATTTTGATTCTCAAACTTATATAATTTCTCCAAATTTCCCACAATAATTTCGCCCATACTTAAACATACATTATGCAAGAGCTACACATAAATCTGTCTATTGTAGGTCTTTCTTTAGGACTGAAATGTAATCTAAATTATTAATTAAACATTAATTAACTTAGCCAGACCATAATTAACTCACAATGCCATCGCTAGCCAGCAATATTTAGCGGATTAGAATACATTTTGTGATAGATGATTAAACGTAAAAATGGATAATCAAGACTTTGTTTTTTATCATACCGACTTTAGTAATGATGATCGAGGCTAGCCTAAAATTCAAAAGCTAATACATCTAAGCTAATACATGTTATCTATGTTTTAACTATTATAGCGAGAACTGTCAACTCTTTATCTAATCTCCCATAATGCCCCTTTAACCGAGAATCTATTCTAAAAGTAGCCCCACTCCCCAAAATGAAATTAGAGGACACCAAATACTATAAAGATATGGGATAATTAGCTGGATGGATAGTAAAACTTGCATATATACAGTAGGACCCGAGTACCATTTACATCTGTCAAGAAACTCACTGCACTTGCTGCATGTATCTAGAATCCAATACACATACTAATAATAGATAAGAAAGTCTTAAAAGCGGTCACAATTCATAATAATAAAAAAAAACTTCTGGTTTGTGCTATCCTGTAGTTTATGAAAGACTGTTTAGTTTTAAGACTAAGCCTTTATTTTCCAACACTTTGTCCAGAAATGAACCAAGTACCGGTAATCAGTTACTTAGTTCACTTACACACCTGAATTTTCAGGAATAATATATACATAGAATCCATTTTATATGGAAACCTTGAATGAAGACAAACCACTTATTTCAATAACTTCATTGTGTCGTGTGGAACCACAAGTAGAAATCTTCCAGAATGATAATATTAATGATTCTGAGCATGTCAACTTGCTAAAATGAGCTATATCTTTTCCTACCTTATAATGAAAAAGAACCACGGTGATACAAAATATCCTATTGCAATAAATCATAGAGGAAAGATGTCGACTGAATATCCTGATTCAATAGTTTTGTTATTGATCATACTTTCAACAGCTGCGGTCACTAATTAATTATCCTAACAGAGATTTTGCACGACAAAAAAATTACAATAAATGTATGTTTTACATTCTAGTGTTCAGAAAAATTTTATATTCATTTGCATTTTTCACTTGTAATGGCTTAAAGCATTATGTAACAACTAAATCTGCCAATTACATATCTTTAATTTGGTTTCAAATGTTAAATAAACTATTATTTAGACATTTATTTACATAAGCCTATAATCAACTCTCTAGAGCATCGGATGGCAGAGATTTAAATGGATTGAAACATAATCGGTATTTAAAGACTTAATTTAATCAGCAGTTGCCAGGCAAGATACGCCCACATTTTGCAAGAGATGGATAGAGAACAAGCTAAAAAAACAAAGCAATTTTTCGTACAATCGTGGGCCATAATCCAGGAAGTTATGGTCTGAAATGGGCCAACATCGAATTGGACGGAGATATTTGGGATATAGAGATATATTTTAAGTTTCATCAGGGTCCACAACTTTCGTATTACATACTTTTACACTATTTGCATATTCGACCGTCATTAGGGTTTAACGGTGAAATATTTAAAAGTTTTTTAAAATCGAATAAAAAAATTGTGACCGCTAGAGTGTCCACAAGCTAAACACAAGAATTTTCATACAATCAGGGGTCATAATCTATGAAGTTTTGATCCGTCACATGCCAATATCGAAAGGAAGCAAGATCTTTTGGAGATAAACCTATACAGTAGAATCTGCATTAAGCAGCCACCCAAGGGAATTTTCACAACTGATCGCTTAACGGGAGTGGCCTTTTAATAAAATTTCAGTGCTTTTTGTGCTGACATAAATTAAATATTACGCTTGGATGCATCGGAAGCGATAATCAATACTTGCATCGGTAAATTTTACCGTTGCTGAATCTTGCGCCGAACGAAAATTCTTTACTCAAATCTCAGACATAACTTCTGTAAACTTGTCATTTTGTAGCAACCTTCGATACTACTGTCTACCACTGTGTGATGCATTCGATAATATTTATCCATTTTTGTAAAGAAAATCGATGAATTAATTTTATTTTATTAAAAAAGCACATGAACAAAAAACCATCGCTGATTTAATCACCTATTTACAGGGGGTGTAAGGGGGGGCTTATGTCGACCTTGCAACTGAAAGCAACTGGCGTTTCGGCAACTGGGAGCGCAACTGAAAGCAACTGAATGAAACTGAAACAAGCCAACTTAGCTTTAGCTCGATATGTTAATCATTGAATTCGGTCAAGACGAACATCAACATCAAGTTAGAAGCAGAGTTGTTATGTTCCAAAGTCTTGACCAATCAAAATGCTTATTGCTCCTTAGCCTAAGCAGATAATTCTCATCATCGAACTTAGGCAAGGTATTATGTAATGAAACTATACACCAAGTTTCATCACTCTCACTTAATTAGAACTAAAGTTATCATGTCCTAAAGCATCAACCAATCAAATTGCTTATCTTTACTTACCATAAGCAGAAAATGCTCATCTTCGCACTCTATCAAGGCATTGACCTCATATAAACACCTACACCAAGTTTGAACATTCTAGCTCAATTAGAAGGAGAGTTATTGTGTTCCAAATTGCTTATCGTTCTGCTTACACTCAGCAGAAAATGCTCAATATCAAACTTAGTCAAGGTATTGATGTAATGAAACTATACACTTTCACTTAATTGGAACTAAAGTTATCGTGTCCCAAAGCATCAACCAATCAAATTGCTTATCTCTACTTACCCTAAGCAGAAAATGCTCATCTTCATACTTCATCAAGGCATTGACCTAATAAACACCTACGCCAAGTTTGAACATTTTACCTCAATTAGAAGGAGAGTTATTGTGTTCCAAAAAGTGTGACGGACAGACAGACAGACAGACGAACCCATTTTAATAGTCCCCTGCTTTCTTCGAAAGGCGGGGGACAAAAAGTCGACCTGAGTGCCTCTTACAACTCAAAGCAACTAGTTGCAGTCAGTTGCAGTTAGTTGCACATGTTCAACTTTCTGCAACTGGCTGCAACTGGCTGCAACTAGAAGCAACTAGTTGCAGTCGACATGAGCGTTCTTGCAACTGGAGTCAACTTGTTTCCATGGAAATAACATCACGTGATAAGAGACATGTGTCATATGTGACTTTATAAATAAGCAAATGAAAGTGAACAAGACACCCACTTTTCAAGTTTTGATGATGTCGACAATAATATACTAATAGAATTGTAGCAAGACCGACCATGCCTTTGGGTTGCTTCTTCTAAGAGATTCGCCATTTTGTTGATTACGTGATAAATAAAATAACAGTCACGTGTTCAGTATCAAATAATGTGTGATCGTTACACGTGAAAACAATGATCAGGTTAGTCGTTTAATAAAACAAAAGATTAATTAACAGATAATCCCGGGTTGATTGTTATTTTTACATTTCTTTTTACCTGATCAGTGGGGGTCCAAAGAACAACAAGATGGTATCATTCAACAATGGCCGTTGAATGGGCGATGTTTTGTTGAATTTATTAGTAAAATAATGACCGCTGGCCGCGTTATAGGAGTGACCGTTGAATAAAGAGATGAAACAAAAGAATTTTTACGGGGGGAATTTATCGTGACCGCTTACAAGGAGATGTCGCTGAATAGGAGTGGCTGCTCATACAGATTCTATTGTATTTCAAGTTTTGTCTAAATCGGATAAGAATTGTGACCACAAACAAATTACGGACGGACGGACCGGGGCGGCAACAATATATGTCCACATGAAAATGGTGAATCAAGGGTTTGTCTCCATTAACAAGTAAAGTTACTGTGATAATAAACAATCTATGCCATAGCTTGTCAAAACTTCGCTCAGAATAAAGTAATTTGAATGAAATTTTCAATATATTCATTTTACATCAATTATCTATATTTGAACTATTATAGCAAGAATGACCAGCTCTTTATCTAAACCTTACATAATGCATCTATAAGCCACGGTACAATGTACTCAAGACTGATTGTTTAACAAAACAAAACCGTAATATCAACAGTAGATAATCTTCCAGCTTGGATTCAATCAGATTAAAAAAAGAGAGAGAGAGAGAGAGAGAGAGAGAGAGAGAGAGAGAGAGAGATGGGGTTTAGTTTAACTCCACTTGACACAAACTAGGTCATTTCGGGACTAACACATGGTTCAATTTTATTTCAATCATTCGCTTGCGCGTAGGGGTCTTTAACATTTAGAGGAAACCGGAGGACCCGGAGAAAACCCGGGAGGTTGGACAGGCGAACATACTCCTTGTCTGTCACGTACAACCGGGGATTCGAAACCCTGCCAGTTGACTCAATGACAGACCGTATGATACAGCGCGCGTGTTAACCATTCGGCCATCCAACCCCCCTAATCAGATTTAAAAAAAAAGAGACAGATCAAAAGATTTTAACCAACACTGTCTCGATTTTAATTCATCATACCAGTTTGTAAATACTGGACCATTAAAAATTAAAATGTTGATTTTCTACTGGGACAGCAAAAGGGTATAAATAACTTTACACAATTTAATTTTTCCATGAAAACCCCTTGTTATGTCTAGGAGTTTTATTTAAGTAAGTTCTTTTTTGCGTATTGCCGGCAATGGCAAAAACAAGAACCGACTCAGTTTATTCTGTTTATCATAGACTTTTCTCAGCCATCATAAACCATAAATTTAACATAATATAATGGATTATCAGTAATAAATATTCAGGGCAAACAACAATTCAGTAGAAGGTGTAAAGGTGTATTTATAGTCGAATTGAATTTTTTATCTTGTTGTTATTAGGTGGCATGTCCAGA